ATTTTCCCATGTCAGCTCTTATAAATGAGGGTTCTGAATTATACAGAAAGAAAAATGGGCTTTTGTCTCCCTTTGGGGTCATCTCATTTGTTCCCTGTAATGAAACATGCCTGCCAAAGGGTGTGGATGGAAGCTGCCTCCCAGGGAGCAGGTAAGGACAGGCCTGGAGCCAGGTCACTGCTACAGCCTTAGGCTCTGAGGACAACGGGTAGGAATGAGAAAAGAGAAAGGCCAATTCATCCTACTTGGATGCCAAACGGCTTTCAGGGTGGAGGAAAACATATTCCACCTGGAACAGTGAATCAAGGATCTAGAGGCCTCTGTTAGGTTAGGTCCATACGGTCTGGTCCCGCCAAGTTCAGGGATTGGGATGTGGAGCCTGTCAGCATTCCTCTGGGGCCAGGCCAACAAAGCTAACCTAAGAACCTAGCTAAGTAACCACAGCCCTGGCCAGGAGCCTCCTATGTGCCCCCTTGACGGTGCTGTATTTTTCCATTCTGGGAAATTCTTGAAACTCAGGTGACTCACCGGCTCTTTCACTTGTGCCAAAGATGAACAAATGTTTTTCCTCTAAGCTCTACCTGATCCTGGCCTCCTCCCTTCTCTCTCCTTTACAAGCCTATCCTGGGCTCAGTCCTCCCTGGCCACATCATCTCGGAGTGATCCTGGGGTCAGCTTATCTGGGCTTCTGACTTTCATTCTCACTGGTTAGCATGATTTCGGGAGCATGGAGATCTCCTTGGGACAGGGTTGCCAGATTCAGCACATAAAAATACAGGGCACCTGGTTAAATGTGACTTTCAGATAAATTATGAATACCATTTTAGTATAGGTACGTCCCAAATATCACCTTCTTTTTTATTACCTGACAACTCTACCCTGGGAGTATTTCAATGCCTTCAATCCATTATCCTAGAGCAGGGATTGGCAAACTTTTTCTGTAAAGGGTCCGATAGTAAATATTTTAGCCTTGCTGGGCCACGTGGTCTCTACTTCAATTACTCAGTGCTGCCATTGTGCCACCAAAACAGCCATAGACAATGCATCAATGAATAGGCGTATCTAAAACATTTTACTTGTGGACACCGACCTTTGAATTTTATATAATTTTCACATGTCATGAAATAGTCTTTTTTTTTTACTTTCCCCCCCATCATTTCAAAGTGTAAAAACCATTCTTAGCTGACAGGCTGTATAAAAACAGGTAGTAAGCCACATTTGGCCCATGGGCTGTAGTTTGCCCACCTCTGACCCAAAGCAGAAGAATCAAACTTTTGGTCTGACTCCAAATCACCAGAGGATTTGTACAAATACACATTGCTGAGCCTCACTCCCGAGTTTCTGGGCAGTGCCTAAGGATTTGCATGTATAAGGAGTTCCCAAGCGATGCTGATTTTGCTGACAGGGCACTGCACTTGGAGACCTCTGCCCCACCCCACAACATCAACCTTTCTATCTGGGGTATTTTAAAGCCTCCTTAGCCATAGGAATGATTTTCCAAGAATCACAGATTATATTTCTCTGTGCACTTGCTACGAGAATTTTCTGTTTCAGCTAGCCTTGGGACAGAGCTGGGATGAGAGTTTGCAGTGCATTTGGTTTTTTAAAAAATAGCCCTCTCCCCGATTATTAAAAATGATGCATTTAAAAATCTTTTATTTTGGAAAAATTTAGATTTACAGAAAAGTGGAAAAGAGGGTATAGAAAGCTTCCATATACTCCTCACCCAGTTTGCCTTAATGTTAACATCTTCCATTACATTTGTCAAAATAAGAAACCAACATTATTAGCATAATATGGTTAACTAACTCCTAGACTTTATTTGAATTTCAACTGTGTTTCCACTAATGCCCTTTTCTTCTGTCCCAGGACCCCAAGCAAGATATCACGTTATATTTAGTTGTCATGTCTCCTTAGACTTTTCTGGTCTGTAACAGTTTCTTCGTTGTTTTCTTCTTTTTCATGACTTTGCCAGTTTTGAGGAGCACCGGTCAGGCATTTTGTAGAATGTTACTCAATTTGATTTGTTTAATGATTTCTTTATCATTAGCTTGGGTTTATGCGGATTCCAAAAAAAATACTACAGAAGTCAAGTTCTCTTCTCATCACCTCATATCAGGGTACATATGAACATGAATTTCCATTGGTAATTTTAACTTTGATTACTTTGTGAAGGTAGTTTTTACCAGGCTTCTCAGCTGTGAAGTTGTTATTTTTCCCTTTCTACACTCAGCTCTTTGGAAACTAGTCAATAATTCCAGCCCACTCTAAAGGGGGGGAGGGGAAAGTTAAGTTTTACCTTCCAGAGGGGCAAGTTTTTACACATATTGCCTAGGATTCAATAAGAAAAACTTGTCTCTTCTCTCTCATTTACTTATTCAATAATTTATATCAGTATGGGCTCATGTATGCTTACTTTATACTTCAGGTTATAATTCAATACTATGTTATTTATTTGTTGCTCAAATAGTTCTTGTTTTGGCCATTGGGACCACTTCAGGTGACTGCTGTGTCCCTTTGACATGCCCCTTCTCCCATCCTTTTATTTTTTTTTTTATCAATTCCCTACTTTCTAGCAATGCAAGGTACTCCAAGGTTATCTGGTATAGTCCTTGCCCCTCCCTGGAATCAGCCATTTTCCCAAGGAGCCCTGTTTTCTCTCACTGGACAGCAGATTTAGAAACCAAAATCTGGGAGCTAGGTGTGCTCATTGCTACTGACCTAAAAAATTTTAAATAAACAACTCAAACAATAAGGAAAAGTTGAAAGAATTAAGTAAATAGGCTCCTAAATTTCATCATTAAGAGATGAGGAAGCTTAATATTTGTTAACTGTTCTTTCAGATCTCTGTCTAGATACATATGACATCTGTCTGTGGCAGCTGGATAGCTACCGGTCTACATATTTTTTTCATGCTATACTTACTCTTCTATAACCTGCTTTATAAACTCAATTTGTCATGGGCATCTTTCCATATCCATGAATGAAGCTGCTTTTTTCCATTTCACGGTGTATCATAATTTATTTATTGATGGACAGCTAGAACCTTAGGATTTTTAGGAAACAGTCTCTATTTTATGTTTTTCTGCACTCTGTTGGTTATCTCGTTGCAATAAAAGGATTTTTTTTTGGACTAAAAGCCTTGACATTGTTTACCTTTGTGTGTGTGCTATTTTTGTAAACATAAGTTTTAAAACTGTTTGAAAATTTAAAATGTAATAATGCTCATTGTTACAAATCAGACAGTGCAGATGTATATGAAGTAAAAAGTGAAAAGAGCTTCCCTCCTAAGTGGCAACCATTATTACACTTTGGTGTAATTGCTAAGAGTGTGGATTTGGGATTGAGACCACCACAAATGTCACTACAGACTGCTGTGTGATGTTGGGCAAATGACCTAACATCTCTATGCTTCAAAATTCTCATTTTAAGGTGAGCATCACAATAGTACCTTTCCCACAACTTTGTGAGAATGAAATGATATGATGTATGTAAAAGGTAGGCTTAACGCAGTTTCTGGCACACAATACGTGCTCTGTAAACTCACACTAGTATTATTATTGTTACTATTATCATTACAGTTTTCTTTCTAGGTATGCGTATTTAAAATTTTAATAACAATTGCTAACTTGCTCTTCTGTTGGACTCTAAAGACTTTTGGAGCTGCAATAGATCCCCTTAATTAGTATTGCTCACAGAGTGGTCTTCAGATTGAATCAGAACCTCTGGGGGTAGAATCCAGGGAACTCATGTTTATCAAGTTCCCCAAGGCTTCTGATGTTCACTAAAGTTGGAGAATCATTTTCTTGGACACGAAGAGGACCAGAAAGGGAGAGGGAATGGAATGTCAGTAGACATCTGGTCAACCCCAGATGGTCAAGGCTGATAGTGGACACTGTACTGGGCCTGAGACAGTGTAGTGGAGGGGTTGGCTTCAGTTCTGTGCTCAGAAAGACCTTTGAATCACAGTGACTAGTGTGGCCTTAGGACAGGACCCTGCTGAGCCTGTCTGGCTCCCTCTCTCTCCCACTTCAAGTCTTTGACAACTGTCACTTTTTCAGCTAGGCTTCCCCTTACCACACTGTATAACATTGCCTCCTTCCTCCAACTCCCAGTCCCTGTCTGTTTTTCTCAGTGTCATCTATCGCCATCTAATATACACCCGTTTTAATCATTTGTCTGTTTCTGCCACTACAAGTAAAGCTACACCAAAGCTTTGTCTAGCGAAGTACCATCCGTTCCTAAAACAGAGCATGCCACATAATAGGCACTCAATAATTATGTGTATGAATAAACCCACTGGTAAAAATGAAGATAATATCTACCTCCCAGGGAGATACTAGGGCTGTTATGAGTATTAATAATACATTTAAAGACCTTGCAATACAGTGTCTATGGCACGTACTAACTGAATTACTTGCTTTCCTCCAGCTTTATTGAGGTATAATTGACAAATAAATTAACTGGGTTACTATTAACCTCGGTTGCTTCTTAGTTGACTGAGCCCCGGGAGAGGGGTGAAGGGATCCCGAACTTTTCTGCCAGATTTTGACTTGATCAGCCTCCTTTTCCCTATTGTCCCCTGGGTCATTCTCCCAGAAGTTCCTGGTTCTTCAACTATTAATCAAAGACAAGTCTAACAGGACCTTCAGCACAGAGGATAAATAGAATAAGCAGGAGAAGCCCAGCCCTAACTTTGACGGAGTTTCTCCCCTCCTTTACTCACACCCCACTCTCGGAAGAGATCTCATTAACAACAGCCGCCTCTACTAGCTAGGTTCATTCCACCATCACAGGGAAGGAAAAGTCTGTATCGAAGAAGCTATTGGAGGGCGGAGGTAGGGAGCGGTGTGATCCCTTCCCGCCGAGGTGCTTTGGGTCGCAGCCCTCCCCGACTATCGCGATAGACGAGCGAGATCGGCGCTGCCCCTTTAACAGCCCCTTCCCGGGGGCCTGCCCCGCGCGTGCGCACTGTGGTTCTGCGCTTGTCATCATGGCGACGCGGGGCCATGTGCAGGACCCTAACGACAGGCGCCTCCGGCCCATTTACGGTGAGTGCTTGGGGCCAGCCTGGTCGCCGGCGGGACGCGCCGAGAGCTGCCGAGGCCGGGGCAAAGGCCCAGGAGGGGCGCTGAGGGTCCGGGAGCGGGGCTGGCGGACACGGGGGGCGGGCCGCGCGGGCCTCTAGGCCGCAGCCAAGGGCCTCGCGTAGCCACCGGCCGGGCCTTCCTGAGCCCTGAAGTGGTAGCGGCGCGGTTGTGGCGGCGGCGGGATGGTGGCAGCGGCAGGTCGGCAGAGCTCGCCCGACAGGCAAGGCTGCGTTGTTAGGGAGACCCGAGATCTCCCCGCAGGTGGAAGCTGGCTCCGGCGTCAGGATGGGACACCCCACTTGAGGAAAAATTCCCCACTAACGACTTTTTACTTTGGGGAACGTGGCCTAGGGGGTTGTTGGACTAACTGCGCCCGGTGCACATGAAGAAACAGGTCCAAAGAGGGGAAGGGGCTGACACAAGGTCACCCAGAGCGAGTGAGGAGCAGGCCCTCCCTATTCAAGGCTCCCACTCCAGAGCTCTTTGATGGAGAAACAGCTGCTCGGGGCACACGTGGGAGGCGGCGGGGGGTTGGGGTGGGTGGAGGGTCTTGGGGCTCAAAATAGCGGTGGACAGATTGTGATAGCTCCTGTCCGAGGGGCTTGCAGCGCTGCTGCCAGGGCTTTTTCTTTCTGCAGCTTCTCTATTTTATTTCTGCAGCTTGTCTTCGCGTGCTAAGTGGATCCCCCTCCATAACGCTTACCTCAAACCGCAGGAGGACCCTGATGTCATCCTGCTACCCCGGTTGTAAAAAAAGTCACAGATTGAGTCAGGGAGAAACACACCTTTTCAGTGACCGAGATGTTCTGGAATTGAACAGTGGTTCCTTTTGCATTTCCTTTCTTCTTAAGATGTTTGTATGGTCTTGGTTTATCTCGGTTAATGGGGAGGAAGGCTTCAAGGTCAGTGGTTTTCGCAAAATTAGAACTTGTGCTTCTAGTGTGGTTGGTACTAAATGGAGGCTTCTCCACGTGGCTGAGATCATTTTACTTTTTTTTTTTGCGGGGAGGAGGTAACTTTACGTTTCTGGCACAATTGGCCCTGCTTCTATTTTGTAATTTGTATGATGCTTTTGCTCTTGCCTCTCATTTGAGCCTAGCAACAACTCTGTGAGATGGGTAATAATAAT